TCAAACAGCTTTACGAAAATGGCACTTTCATTAAACAAGTATCGTCTTCTCCCACCAAAAAATTTACCTCCCTTACACAAAACATTTGATCTAGGTAAGTAACTGCTGTTCTCTTACTGAATATCAAGTGATTGTTGTAAATCTTGTATGTGGTGGCAGGCAATGCTCAATTCTTTCTATTTAACTAGGACATCCGGATTTTTATCCAACTTTATTGGATAAACCCGAAGATCAAATGACAGAAGAAAATGTAAAGAAAGGATACGCCTACACTCCGATTTTTGAAGATGAGACTGGATCATTCAAAAAAGAATTCAAAAATGTTAAATCAAAGTATACATCCTGGAAAGAAGATCTCAGTAATCTTGATGAAATGATGTCAGACATAATAAAATTAAATAAAAATCAAACAATCAAATATGAAGTGTTAGTATGTTAGATTGGCTTCATAATATTCATTGTATTTATATTCACTCATTATAATGATTTAATGATTTAGGGAAAATACATTCAAACCTTTAAAAACTGAATGGATGCCTCATGACAATAAGGAAAAATGGTTAAGAGATCTTGCCAATAATGTACCTTTGAAAAAATTAAGTAAAATTATTCCTAACACGTATGTGAATATTTATTATTTATTAGATTGTTTATAATATCATTATTTAAGAAACTTTTGCAAATAAATTTCTTAGCATGGATGGTATGAATTTATTGGAAGATATTGTCAAGTATAAGGTACCATTAGCTCGTGCAACATGGCTTACAAAAATTGTTTTGATAAACTCATTTCCGGTACTGATTTTTAAAGTAATCAAATTGATTAATGAGTTATTTTTTGATAATATAATATAATATAAGATTAATTGAATATTGTAATACTCTTAAGAAGGCTCATAAATCAGACCATCCAGTAGATTACACTAAAGTTTTTAATGACTTTCTTCTTGTACAAGCTAATGATTATGATTCTGAAAGATGGAGATATTGGTAATGTTTAAATATTTTATTAGAAATTTT